ACCAACGTGATACTTGCATTAACTGAAAATCCAAGTTCGAAGTGTGTGTGTGTGTCCCACCCTGGACAAAGGGTCTTCCACCGCCATTTCTCCACAAGCAGGGGGATGCCCCACACCTGAAGAGAGGGCATCTAACAAAGAGGCTCTTCAGGATGTGCTGATATCAGCAAGGACGCTTGCTGACGTACCTGCACCAGAAACTGTTGCTCAAGCTTTTCCACTTTCGATTTGATTCATGGTGGTTTCACACGCTAGTCCCCACAACCAGCTTCCTTCAGCCGCTTTCCGCTGACTTTGAGTTGGCCGCTGCAGTCATGCGATTGAAACAATTATGTTCAAACACCTTCAAATGCCTGGACATTTCACCTTGCTGTTCCACCGCCATCCTTCCCACCGTGGTAACTGAGTTAACTGAATACAAGTGTCAGAGTGTGCGCGCTAAGAATCTACTAATGAAAACACAATCACATGGCAAGCTTACGCAACATGCATGTCTCACAACTCCCTTACGCTACCTTACGCTTTTCAGGTTTTTGCTTACGCCCAAGTTACATATGGGCCTTTACTTAGTTCATCTTGGGAGGTTAATTTTTGGCCTTGCTCAAACATAATCGAGTCCAAGTCTTCAATCTGTTCTTTATGATCTGCATGATTTTTGCAAAGTGTGGAGTAAGGAATCAACCAAATGCAAAAACATATTGGCAGGCTGTATCAAGCCCTTGTTTATCCCACATAGCAACACACAATAACAACTCACAAAAGGCATCCCCACGACTCGGCACTTGATGAAGGTTAAATGCCAAAGAAAAAAGTGGTTGAAGTTCAATTGCAATTGCAAGTGCTCTCATTGGATTCTCGAAGTTTGCCTCTCCCGTTAGATTGCCCAATTCCGAATCCTTAAGGAAAATTGACGTATCACCTTTCATGTTCCTGTCCTGGGCAATTGAATTCATTCCCAATTGTCCACATTCCCCAAAAAAAGGAAAATATTGACATTTGATGTCCTTTCCCATTCACCAAGCTCCCCCCCAAAAGATCAAACAAAAAGTCCTTGGCCACTACTTGGCAGTTTGAAACAACTGTTTGGGAGGTGTGGACATTACTGTACAAAGGGGTCTACAGGACCAATAGAAACTTAGAAGTATTCTGTTGAATGCAATGGGCAGTGGACATTGTGGCATGGTCTGCACTCGTCAAAGATGTTGTCTGGAGATGTCGTGAGATGGGTAGCTGCGGTCTCAGTAACAAGTGCCTTACTAGTAGTAACAATGTTTGCTATTAGAAACAAGTGCCACGCTAGTAGTAACAGGTGCCTCGCTACTAGTAACAAGAAGCTAGTGGTAAGTCACGAGAACAAATTCATTCGCCCGCCATCTTGGCTATTCTTGAACAACGTCTTGACCAAGATCATCTTGGGCAATCAATTTTCCAACAGGATGGGCAAAAAAGAAGTTGCATTCCACTGATTCCACAACAAACAGAAAGGGTGAGACTGGGTGTATCTATTGCCTGAGCTATTAAAACTGTTGCCTGCATACACACCATGTTAGAACAAGCAGCCGATGATGTGGAAGTCAGGTGATGCTTCCAATAAAACTGTTTACAAAAGGTCTTGATTCAAGATCTTATCTGCCTTCTTAACTCTGACACATGCATCGGAGAAACGATGCCGGCAAACAATCCTTGTCTGTCATCACAGACTCCACCAGGACCTCTACCTTGACAGAACGCTTCGCAGCTCACAAGTTCAGGAAACAAATCAAAACAGACTGGAAGGACAAACAAAGTCTAGAGTACAAATTTGAAAGTCTGTCTTTCCTGCTCCAAGTACAAAGCAAACATTGATATTCTCTCCGCTCGACGCAGCTGTCACACAGCTGTCGTACGTCCCTAAGAACCGACACCGCTAGCTGGTCTGTCATTCGTTCACACGCCACGTGCCACGTGCTCCTTGGGTCGCTCGGTGAAAAGGGACCCTCTGAATGGCCGAATTGATCCATCTCAAGCTGGCGACATCGATGTAGCCATAGAACTCGTCTGAAAAGTTGCTTGTCGATAAGGGCAACATACACGGCATCCCCACGTCCCTTGAGAATGCAGGGAATACACTGGAGATTGTCAAGTCTCACCAGCTTCCCTTGCGCATTCTTCCGCCTCAAATGACCCAGCAGGAAGGCTGAAATGGGGCAAGACAAGATGATCTGTATGAATGGGTTTGCTTGCTGCATGACATAGCTCAAAGCCTGACTTTGACACGAAAGCTTGTATTGAAGCGCTTACGCTCAAGCCGCTTCCAAGGGGCTCCTGGCCTTACTACTAGGAGCAAGGACGCTACAAGGGGCTCCTGGCCTTACTACTAGGAGCAAGGACGCTACAAGGGGCTCCTGGCCTTACTACTAGGAGTAAGGACGCTACAAGGGGCTCTGGCCTTACTACGGCCGCGTTTTTTTAAAATGAGTTTTTCCGTTTTTTTGGGGAATTTTTTTCTGGTCCTGTTGTGGGCGCCTTCCCTCAGGCTCGTGTCTCCAAAATGATAGTTGTTTCTCCGCAAGCTGGCCACCTGCAAGTGCTCACCTTCTTTCCTTCCTTCCTTTCTTGCTGCCTTCTTTCCTTCCCTTCCCTTCCTTCCTTCCTTCCTTCCCTCCTTCCTTTCTTCCTTCCTGCATCACATAAGCAAAGCAAGGATAGCGAACAGCCACAAAAGCAAAAAGCAACAAAAGCCAACAGAAGCCTTCGAAAGTCAACACAAGTCACCAAAAGCCAACAGAAGCCAGCAAAAACCAACAGAAGCGAGCAACAGCTACCAGAAGCCACTAAAAGCCACCAGAAGCCAACAAAAGCCACCAGAAGCCACCAAAATCCCACAGAAGCCAACAAAAGCCACCAAAAGCGAGTAAAAGCCACCAGAAGCCAGCAAAAGCCGCCAGAAGCTAGCAAAAGCTACCAGAAGCCACCAGAAGCCAACAAAAGCCAGCAAAAGCCAACAGAAGCTAGCAAAAGCTACCAGAAGCCACCAAAAGCCACCAGAGGCCAACAAAATAGCCACCAGAAGCCAACAAACAAATCCACCAGAAGCCACCAAAAGCCACCAGAAGCCACCAAAATCCAACAGAAGCCAACAAAAGCCACCAAAAGCCAGTAAAAGCCACCGGAAGCCAGCAAAAGCCAACAGAAGCTAGCAAAAGCTACCAGAAGCCAACAAAGATACCTAATGCCTAAACGTGAAAAAAAATCAAAAAAAAACGAAAAAAAATCCTAGAAAAATATGAGTTCCCCTTACTACTAGGAGCAAGGACGCTACAAGGGGCTCCTGGCCTTACTACTAG